TACATGTGTTTTTGGTGGTCTTTTCAGATTTCTTGAGACAGGGACATGGACAGATGTGTTACTTGGACTTGATGAAAATTGGAGGTCCCTAATGAAAATTAGAGGTCACTGATTTAAATTACACTGGTAAATCTTGGTTGAAAAATGTGCTACCTAGCTTAATCCCTGATGGTTTGGAAATTAAAAATCAAAGCAATCTAAAGGCTCATCTGATCTGAAGTTGGGTACCTTTTAACCTTATTTGAACTCATGGTCATGACCAAGGAACCTCAAAATTTGATGCAAGTAAACTCACATACAGCTGTATATGCCTGGTGAATTGTGTCTCCAGCTCTTTAAGTAATTGAGGTTTAAGGGGAGGGACAAATTAACCAACCAGTCATCTAGATGCATACCTATATGCTCTAAGGTAAAGAAGACTCCTTTTTAACTGCTGTAACTACTATTTAATTACTCTAAGGTGACCGAAACACATGCCAAATATTGGATGGAGGATCTGGAGCTATTTTGACCATTTATAAACATAGCAGTGGAAATAAAAGTAGCCATTAGATGTGAGTTTGATTCTCAGGAAAACCTTGACTTTCCCCTGATCATCAGATATCACTGGCCCCCACCCCCAAGCAGAGGATCAAGCCTGGCCCTAAGCATTGGTCTACTGGTCTGCCATTTTTGGCAGATTGGCAAATAACATTTGGGAAGGAAAGTTCCAAAAGGACCTGAAAGACCCTGATCAGTGCTGCTCCTTTGAAGGTTTGTACTGATAGCTTTCAGGTACTTCCAGCAGGACATGATGGTCAGAACTTGCATTATGGCTGTCTGGGCCTGGTTCTGTAGATTGTATGTGTCTAGGGCTTTTCCTAACACTTTTTGTAGGTATTTTCACTAGGAGATTCAAGAACCTAAGTTGGCATGATATCCCATTCATTTACCACACACCACACACATATATTGTGGCAATAAAGACTATGGTGGGTTTCTTGGGCTTTATGGTGTCTGAGTGTTGTGATCTGTGAGGGTGTCTTTGATTGTGTCATGCTGGAATAGTTTTTTCAGGGTTGAATCTTTGCATGTGATTTTCTGGTACTCTATGAACATGTTTCCCCTACTTCTCCCCAGTTAGCACATGCTTAGTAGTTTGTATGCCATAAGCCTCTCCTCATACTCAAGGTTTGTCACTCTCCAAAACAGCTTGGTTGATGTCTTTTTTACTGTTTTAAAGTATTGGTTTCCACATTACATTGAGCCTCACATGCAATTGCCATATTTAAGGTAAGACCCTTCCAAAGCTTTGCACAGCAAAGGCAGAGACCCAATGTCTATGAATGAATTTATAGTAAGGCCTGCCAAATATCTGAGTAACAGAGCAAAGGACAGCCCAATCAGCACCAATGCTTTTTGGGGTTCTTAAACTACACTAACTGCTTTGATGCACTTTCTTCCATGGTGCACTTATGTTGATGATTTTTTTGCCGAATACACAGGGCTATGTGCAGTTTCTCACTGAAAGGCAGTTGCCACATGTTTGCACATTCTTCCAGCACTGCAATATCTCCTGGTTTGCTGCTGTGCACCTGTTCACTTGCATGTATCATTCCACAGTTCTATGAAGATAACACAGGCATTGGAAATGAAGATGGCATCACCCTTGTCAAATGATGAGGAAGTGGTAAGTAGATAATGCCATTTTGCGTCAAACTATGCATACAGGTATGGGGTAGGGGCTCTGTTCCCACAGTCTGCTCTTCTGGGACATGTGGTCAGCCATACTCTTTTGAATGTTCTTATATTTTAGGTTTGTGTGTTGGATACATAGGAGTGTTTGATCATGGCTACATTGCCAAAAATAAGTTTAGTTGCATGCTCCTTTGTTCTAGATTCTTCAGAATGATGATGATGGGTTACTACTTACAGAAATGAAATATAATAAAATGAAATGATGTAGCAAGAAAGCTATTGAAAGACATAGGGTCCCTCACCTGGATTTGTTATAGAACATGACCCCAACTGCTTTTGCCCACAGGCCACACAGAAGTTCTTGGAACTTGTGAACAAGGCTCGCAACAGGAAGGGAGGCTGGTCCCTATCACGTGGAAAACTGCTGTCAAGTTCCTCATGGCTCGCAAGTTTGATGTGGATAGGCAAGTAACAGCAGTGGAGCTGGTTGACCGGGAGCAAAGCTAATCATGAATTGGGAACAAGCAGTGTTCATATTTGACTTTCAGACACGTTTTCGCGGTACAGTCTCGGTCACATTCTTCCCACTTTTATGCACATAGTTATGTGGGATGAATTAAGGGATAAGTGGGTGGTGAAAAACAAGTTATGGCGAAGGTTAGGATATGATTGTCGTAAGGTTGAGTAAAAATAGGTTTTTGGTGAGGATGCTGTATCTTGAGGTACCTATTGCAACCAATGTTGCCATGCTGAGCAGGCAACATCTTGGAATGGCAAGGTTATGCCCATTCTTATTCTGATCAAAATCAAACAACACTTGAGGAACAATAAACTGTTTTTACATGTAACAAACTATGTTGTTTTGAGGCAGCTCTGCAGTACCTTGTGTATCTTTGTAATCTCGAAAAGTTGTTAGTTGACTTGGAGAAGTTTTGACCCATCCCTGAGTCAGTTGATACTGGATTGTACACAAGACATCCCTGGAATCAGGCTCACTGAAATGCAAAATGACTAAATATGTCAAAATAATGCCACAGCTATTTTAACAGCATGCACATAAACCATTCTCTAATCGCTGATATGTGACTTGTTAAACACTAAGACCTGATACAGACTCACAAAGTTGTATGCCCTTAGATTCATTGTGCATTTCTTTCTTCAGGCAATATTTATTTTCCTCTTCCAGGGCTAGTGTAATTCACACCATTTGCATTTTTTTCTTTATTTCGCAACTTCGGCCGTACCCGCCCGACGCATAATTGGTTCGTGTCGACTTCTTTGTTTTGCCAGGGCACTGACGCTTTACGAGCAGCACGAACGGACACGGCTGATGGAAAACCTGACCGACTTTCACCCCCATGAAGACCCGCTGAAAAGTGAACTCGAGATGAAAAAGTTCACTCTGTTGGTAAGTAGGTGACAATCATAGCAGCAGGGCGTTTGGCAGCGAATCGTTTGATGCAGCGGCCGGCTGGGTCGTCACATGTCGCATGATAGGCTACGGTGTTTATGCGATGTAATGTGCTTCATATTCACCTGCTGTTGTCCTGCTGTCGAGCCCTGTTTACCATTGCAGCACTGCTTGACCCTGTGTGCCACTGTCCCGCCACCAAAACGTCGTACCGCTGTCCTGCCGTGTGACGGTGTGTACCACTGCGCCGTCCTGTGACCCTGTGCACCATTTTGCTGTCCTGTGACCCTGTGTACCATTGCGCCATTCTAAGACCCTGCGCACCGTTGCGCCGCCCTGTGACCATGTGCGCCATTATCTTATCAGATTCTACCTCTGTGCCACTGCCTGACCACTTGTTCTCCTGTCCCTTCATCTGGTATGTGTACCTCTGTCCCCTGTTCAGCCATGCGCACCATCCGCCTTCCTCGCCGCCCTGCCTCCTGTCCACCGTTCCCCCGACAACGGCACCCACGCACCGCGGTTGTCATGTCGTCGGTCGGGATTGTCGTTTTCCGTTTTCGAGCCGTTTTTCCGTTATGTGACCGTGTGCTGCAGTCCTGTCGTGGTACCCAGAACACTCTTGTCTCTCCCTCTGGCCCTGTGTACTGTTGGGTCCCATCTGAAGCTGTACGTTGACCATTGGTACCAGTGCGCGGTCGCCTGATCTTGTATATGGTGTGGTCGTATGGATCAGTGATGCGCCGCCCCCACCTGGTGTGCCGCCATCATTCTGTAGGACCATGTGTACTGTTGTCTCCTTGTCTGGCCCTGATAACTGTTGCCTCCCCCCTCCATTTCTTAATTCAAGTGCTGTTGTCTTATCACACGACCCCCAGATGCATCACCATCCATAGTATAACCCTCTGTACTGTTGTTCCGCCACAGGAGGCTGTGTTCTGTGTTCCCACCACCTGGCATTATGCGCCGTTGTCCCACCATCTGACCCCATGCACTGTCGTTAAACCACCTGACCCTCCGCACTCTTGTCTCACCACCTGACCCTCTGCAATGTTGTCCCACCATCCGACCCTCTGTACCGTTGCCCCACCTCCTGGTGCTATGTTCCGTATTCCAACGACCTGACCCTATGTATGATTGTCCCGCCACCTGGGACTATGACGCTGTCTCGCAGCCTGACTGTGTACCGCCACCGTCTGCCCTACATACCGTGGTCCCACCGTCTGCTGGTGTGTACCGTCTCCCCACCGTCCTGCGCTCTGTACGGCTGTGTCACCGTCTGATCTCATACACCTGTGTTCTTCGTTCTGATTGTGGGTACCGTCGTCTCGTCACGTACCGTTGCACCGTTGTCCCGCTGTGTTCCCCTGCGTGCCGTTGCGCCATCGTTCCGCCCTGGCGTTGTGCCGTTGTCGGCCCTGTGCCCGGCTGTGCCGCATCTGACTCTGTGCCGGTGCAGCCGGTGCGGGACAGCTGCGGCGCCTCGATCGCCCTGTTTACGGCCCGGCTGCACAACCCGCACCTCTCCACCCACAAGGACACGCTGCAGGTCAGTCCGACGGCGCGCTCGGTGTCTACCCACTCTCAGACTGCTTTGGTCTTCCATCTGAACGGCCAACGACGTCCACTGCAGTGAGCTCGTCGTTACGTATTCGCTCAGACGGGTGTTTTACGGGCGCATGCTGTACCGATCTGTAACACGGAGGTAGTGACTTGTTGCATGGGCTGGTTGGAGAAGTTGGCATGTCAAGACACTGGATGTTTCGGCCGTAGCTAAATTTGCGAAGTTATATTTGCATGCGGGTGGCCAAGTGGAAACGTCAGGTGCCTTTGGTTGAAGCCATTTTCAATGTGTTTTGCGATAACCAGCGATAACAATCACATGAATTAGGCGAAGCATCCCGTTCTGTCCATGTAGAGAGCGACGGACGCAAGCGGTGGCTATTCGTTGGCTGGGCGTTCAGTTTGTCCCTGGCCGGTTGTTGGGCTTACGTAGGTGTAATGCCGTTGATACGGAGAGGATTTGACGCGGTAAACTCGTAAGTTCCCATGTTTGTCACGTTAAGCTGAAAGCGAGTACAGAACCACACGCATATTACCGACGAGGTGTAGTGCTCCTGTAAGCAACAAGATGCCAGTTTAGTGAACTTCTGTGCAGTGTTGTAATGTCCGGTGACGTCAATAAATGCAGCCATCGTCATTCCCTGAAGCTATCCACAATCTATGGCGTGGAGATATCTCTGCGACGCCCATGGTGTCCGGGGGCGCCCCGGAGGGGGCATCGCGTTTGGGGGGGGGGGGGCATCGCGTAAGGGGGGGGGGGGCGTCCCGGAGCGGGGAGTGGCGCCTGATAACCGGTGTGACGCGCTCGGCTCGGCAGGGCATCGTGTACCAGTTGGACGTGGCCATGGAGAACATCGACGCCCAGCGCAACGGCCTCGTCTTCATCTACGACATGTCCGACTCTAAATACTCCAACTTTGATTACGACCTCAGTCAGAAGATACTCAACCTTCTCAAGGTGGGCAGAGCGGCGGCGCGGTGGCGGGGGGTGGCGGATGTTCGGAACCATCCGTAGCTAGGCTGCAGTACCGTCGTTTGTGAATTGCGGGAGCGTACTACTGGTTACAGTTTGGTCTCATTCGGTGCAGGGAGCGCGGTGGCGTGTGCCGCAAACGTGCCGACCTGTTGCATAATTCGCATTTCATTGTAGCCGAGGGCTATTGTGGCTGCTGGAAGCGTGTTTTTGCGGAAAAAAATGAATGGGTACGAGAAGGAAAGTCTAATTTAAGACACACGTTATTTCTTATTGATGCATAAGGCATCAAATGAAATTGGACGAAGAGTGGTTAATAGAAGCCTAGCTTACTTCCACGCTGTGGGTTTTCAACGACAGGCGCTTTCAAGCAATGCTTTTCCTATATGGTCCCGCTTATGGAAACAACACAAGGTGGGTCCAAGGGCCTACTCAAACCGCAGTGAATAACGTCTCACGTGTAACGTCCGAGATACGGACGTGCTCGCCCAGGCAGTGGTCTGAGTCCAAGGGTCTTTTGTATATGTCCTTTGGTCGGGGTGGCTGAAGCTCGGCGCAGTCGTTACAATGCGCCGCGCTACCTCGCTGGGTAGCTTAGCATGTTCAGTTTAGATACCTTGTACGTGTGGGCAGGAAACCTAAGCTTTTCGGAACTGAATCATGGCGGGTCTGGGTGTATTGATGCAAGCAAGAGTGGCCTTTGGCTCCTGATCTTTTTCTGAATGATTTGGGTTCAGAGCGATTGATGTATGATTTCCCATCTTCTGCAGAGCTTTAGCATTCTTGCTGGCTTATAGATCTTTGTGATCTTCCCTGTTGGA